AGGAAAGGAAGTTGGTGTGTTGGACATCCTCTTTTATCTTTTATATTCAAAGTCCTTCAAAGCTCAAGCTTCACAAAGCTTGGACTCTTTTATTCTGAGTCCTATAAACTAGGAATGTGATTCCTAGTCAGTCTTCATTTTGACAAAATTGTTTCATTAAAGCAAGTTGGGCAGAGTTCATTATAAAATTATTTTCTTACCTCCTGGCAAGGAATCAGTTTATTAATATTAATCAGAATATTAATGCCAATAATACATTAATATTCATTTTTATTCAGTACCAGTTTCACAAAGCCTTCATTGTTTTTTAATGAGTGTATTAAATATTTTTTAAATAGTAATTTAAATTTAATTAAATAATTCAACATTTTGAAATTTTATTTTAAAACATCAGATTGCTTTATCTTGCATCAGAGACAGTGTTGATTTGCAGCTTAACAGATACCAAAAAATCCTAAAGTTCCTTACCTACAGTTATCAGACAATAGCACTATATTAACAAAGTTAAACATATGTCTCCATCTATGATTTATTCTTTATTTGATGTGCATTATACCTCACTGGTTAGCCTTTCTATCTCGCCACTAACTCACTAATCACTTGGTAAAGGGTCGTCTAAACGTCATGTGTTTAGGACAGGCATTGAATTCATGGATTTTCAAGTTTTGTTGGATGGACTTCAGTCTGTGTGAATCTGTGTGGGCTTACTGAATCGCATCTTTGGAGTATTGTGAAAACTAAGATGATAGATTTTATTTGATCTCTGAGTTGAGCCTGGTAATTTCACTACATTTAGCCACATTCTGTCTTGTTGGTGCTTTATGTAAGTACCAAAGAGATGTGAAAACCTTGATGGAGTATCTGTTCATAATATTAGCTGTTTCTTCAGGTGACCAGAAGGACATGTCTTTTCTCCATTCATATGAATTTGAAAGATTAAATACATAAAGGGGCTTTCTCAGGCTACAGGAGACCCATACCTTTTATTTAAGTGGAGAAGGAGGTCTGGGGTTGGGGGTAACATCCCCATCCCTTCTCCCTCCTGCCCCCCCCACCCATACACACTCATTCACATATTAGAGTGTAAGGGCATCGAGGCAGAAGTGTTTGCTTTTGTTCACTGCCAGCGCTTAGAATAGCGATTGTCATGTAGTGTAATGTATTCAGTTATTATTGAATAAAGCGAAGTCTACTCCTGCCTCATTCTGGTTGATACAGCTTGGACTAATAAAAGGACCCAGTACATTGTAGGTACACAGTAAATATTTGTAGAGCAAATGAATGAACCAACCCATCTCCTTTCTGAGAAGTAGCTGGCTAGATTTAATTATTTTATAGAAGGTATACTTTTTTTAATAGAAGGGAAACTTTTAGAATTCCTAATTTGTTGAAAAAAATTGATACTGTCTTCCCATATCCCTGTGAATTTCTGTGTCAGGCAGCAGTGAATTTATAAGTTTTGTTGAAAGATGTAAATACTGGCCACACTAAATACCGGTCAGGATGTAGAAACTCTCATTCATTGCTGGTGAGAATGCAAAATGGTACAGTCATTTAAGAATACAGTTCGGCAGTTTTATACAGAATTAAACTTACTCTTTCCATATGATCCTATAATTGTACTCCTTGGAATTTACCCAAATGGAGTTGAAAACTTAAGTCCACACAGAAACCTACACATGGACAGCTTTGTTCGTCATTGCCAAAACTTGGAAGCAACCAAGATGCCCTTCAGTAGGTGAATGGATGAATAAATGGTGGTACATCCAGACCGTGGAATATTATTCAGCACTAAAAAAGAAATGAGCTGTCAAGCCATGAAAAGACATGGAGGAACCTTAAATACATATTACTAAGTGAAAGTAGCCAATCTGAAAAGCTATGTATATATACTGTATGATTCTAGCTATAAAACATTGTGGAAAAGGTGGAACTTTGGAGAAAATTAGAAGATCAGTGGTTATGAGGGATGGGTGGCTGAGAGGAGAAGTGCATAGGCAGAGCACAGAGGATTTTTAGGCAGTGAAAATACTCTGTATAATATGTAATATTGGACATGTGGCATTATACATTTGTCCAAACCCATGGAATGTACAATACCAAGAACAAACCCTAACATAAACTAAAGACTTTGGGTGATTATGATATGTTAATGCAGATTCATCCTTAGTAAAAAATGTATCTGATAAGTGATGTTGATAATGAGATAGACTGTGCAGGGAGTATGTGGTAATTCTATGTACCTCCCTCTCAGTTTTGTTGTAAAACCTAAAACTGCACTTTAAAAAAAGAAGTCTTTAAAAAGTATAAAATACTGTATTTCCCTTATTTTATTTTGTGGCTTTATTTCAGTACTTTTAGTTAAGGAGAATTAAAGTATGCAGATCTTTAAAATTATATAGATTGTCTTGCCAGGCAGCCAGTAAAATCATACCAGGAAGTTTGATAAGAGCTCCCAGTTAAGAACACATTAAATTATCTTTCGCATAATGCTAAGTGTTTGGGGAGTTGCTTGAATTAATTTTCATTGTTACATTTAAAATTTTGATAGATTTTATAAATAAGAATAAATCCACTCATTAAAGGACAAGAGAAGATCCTTCAGATTATTGGATTCTGTGGCATCTGTATCAGATTCCTGACCCTTTAGCTACACTGGAAAAGTTGCCAGCTGACCTCGCAAAGAGGTACCTTCTCCAGACTTGCTATGGACCTGCTAAAATGTGGCCATTGTAAGCAAAGATGAGTCGAAAGAAATCCTTTTTAAATGTTCACTAAAGAAAACATGGAGATACGTTCATTGCCAGAGGTTACTTGAATAGACCCCACAAGTGTATTTGTTAGAAAAGGGTTCTTAATTTTAAGGAAGAGTTTAGGTAGCCCTGGAAATACGTAGTACTTGAACTAATCAATAGGAGCTAAAGCTACCTCCGAAAGGTATTGAAAAGGCCATTTTGTGGTAAAACATTATCAATAATAGTATTCTGTGGCATTTTATTTTTGTTGCTGTTGTTGACATTATTTTCCTCTCACAGCTCTTCTAAGCCTGAAGAGGGTGTATTTTGTATGAGGTTCAAACTCTTTTGTTAAAAAAGCTATAAGTCAGCCTTTTTGCATGAACATCTATACTCTAAGGTGAATTCTTGCTGCTTGATCTTTGTAGCTCTTTTATGTGTCAAATTAAACCTAGAAGAGTTTCTTATGAATGTTTGGTTGTGAGGTACATTTGAAATGGCTTCTATCTTATAATTGCAGAACTTTCAAGCTCTTTTTAGATAACAATATACATGGGATTAAAATGGAAACCCTGACACATGTCTAGAGAAAGTTTCTTTTTCTGTCTGTGTCTGTGCCTTTTGTGACCTATGCACTGAATTTCATCCTGGTCAGTGTTTAAGCCTAGAGAATAAGGAAGCTCAAAATCTGTGCCCTTATAAGAAGGCAGGGATATGACTGAGTCATAGGCACCTAAGTTCCAAGGCTGGATGGATCAAATGAAAGCTTGGGGAACTTGCCAGATTGTTTCTTGCTCTTTTCTGATTAATGTGGATTTCCGTTACTCAGCTTCAGGACTGACTACTGGTTAGCCCTCCATCTCCGCATAAAGAGGACAAAGTGGGGGTTACAACCTAAAGTATGAGTCGAGACTGTAAATTCAGGTGCTAAATTATACTTAAAATACTGTCAGCGTAGATTTTATCGTGGTCACTTAGGGGTTTGTTGTTTTAACTGTAATTGGTCTGTTTGTCATTTTAGTGAGCACGAGTTAAATGCTAAATATAAAATTATTTAAAATTTCCTCCTCAGGACAGTCACCCGTTGATTAATGGCATGGAGAGTGAGAATATCATGTGTAGATAAAACACAGCAGGATTTCAGTCATGTAACTCTGTTTCTCTTTGCTACTCAGTCTGCTTTTAGATTATTTTTAACAACTTTCTTGGTGAAAAATTAATTTTGATATGAACCAAAACAAAACCCAAAAGGTGAATGTATGATTAAAAAAATAACATTTTTAGGCTTCTGCAGTACATTATTCTTTTAGAGAAGCTGGATACTTGACAATAGACAATAGAGCTAGCCTCAAAAACATGACATGTATGTTGAGACCTGTTGAGTATTTGTAGTTTATGAAATTATTTTAGTTGAATGATTTAAGCATTTCCCCCCACCTCAGGGTTTCAAGAGGGTGTGATTTGTCCACTGTTTATTCTACTTCTTCAAAACAAAATATCTAAATTTCCAGATGCTTTACTAATTTTATATAAGGTGGAACAAAGTTCTCTTTTTCCCAGTATTACTAATTAGCCAATTATTTCTCATCAGCATTGTGCATATCAGTTGTAAACCTGAGGCAGTTTTGTTCTTCAGGTGACATTTGATAATGTCTGGAGACATTTTTGATTGACACAACTTGGGGGCTATTACTGGCACAAAATGTGTAGAGGCTACAGATGATACTAAACATTTTATAATGCACAGAGCAGCCCCCCAAGAATGACTTATCTGATTCAATATATTAATAACGCCATGATTGAGAAAGCCTGGTGTGTGTGTTTGTGTATACATACATATATAACTTCAAGGGGGATAAAGTATCACTTATAAATTCAGCATCCAAGGTGGGAGGGGTGTGGCTCAGTGGTAGAGCGCATGCTTAGCATGCATGAGGTCCTGGATTCAATCCCCAGTGCCTCTGTTAAATTAACTAATTAATTTTTACAAATAAATAAATAAACCTGATTACCCCCCAAATAAAAGTACTATAGTTAAAAAAAAACTTAATTCAGCATCCATATTTAAACTACTGTGACACCATTTAGCCATTGACTTATTATGAAAAAGATTTGAGATGACTTAACATGATATGAAGCAGTTTTTCCTCAAAGGTTATTCAATAATAGTAAGTTACCCGTTTAATCTCTGTACCTTGTAAGTTACAGAAATGGCTTTACTTCTTATGATTGAGTTCATGTAATTCTTTGTGTTCTTTTTTAAAGCACTCCAATATAAATCCAGTTTTACGAGGGAGAAAACTATTTTTTTATTAGTTGCTGGACTACTGCTCACCATCATTGTCATTGTTGGAGCCATTCTTTTCATCCCAGGTAAGACACACAGTTATCATGGGGGAAGACAGGATTGACATGGCTGAGGGCATTTCTAGGGAGGTGCACGTTAGTTTCCTAGGGCTGCTGTAACAAATTACCACAAACGGGGTATCTCAAAACAATAGAAATTCTCTTATAGTTCTGGAGGCCGTAAGTCTGAAATAAAGATATCATGAGGGCCACACGCTCTCCTGAGACTCTAGAGGAGAATTCATTCCTTGACTCTCCTAGCTTCTGGTGTTTGCTGACAGTCTGTGCAACTCCTTGGCTTGTAGCAGCATAACTCCAGTGTCCTCCCTGGTCACATTGCCTCCTCCTCTCCTCTGTGCCTTCTCCATGTCTTCATTCAATTTCCCTCTGCCTCTCTCTTACAAAGACTCCTGTCAGTGGATTCAGGACCCACCTGGGTAATCCAGGACAAGCTGCTTCTTTCGCATCCTTAATCATATACTTTACTATGTAATGTGATGCTTGCTCTTTTGCTATATAAGTTAATATTCACAGATTTGGGAGATGTGGAGGTGGACAGAGCTTTAGAGCTACCATTCAACCCACTACAGAGGCACTCTTCGTTGGCCAAGACACAGAAGTGGGAATGAATGTGGGAAACAGATCTATCTGAAACTTGCCCTTGGAGGATGGCAGTGGGAGTGGGAGATAAGAGTGAGCAGCACGTGGTAGGAACAGCAGAGACAGGCTGGGACTCAAAAGTGTAGACTGTAGAAAGCCTTTGTTGCTTTTTGAGCAGAGTACAATATAGGTGTAAGGTTTAGGCACATAAATGTGACAGCTGTGTTTGCAACTGGAGTTAGTGAAAACATGGGGAGGAAGGAGATGAATTCAGAAGACAACTTGAAAGAACAACTATTTTGACTTTGGGACAGACTGAATATAGCAAATGAAGGGAATGGTAAGAGATGACTCCACTGGAATTCTGTAAGGTAGTTAAGGAGGCAGAGCCAGTTCAAGGTTTGACATACTGAGACTTAGATGTTGACATTTATTTGTCTTAGTTTGGTCTTGAATAATTAAAAAATAGTCTTTTATTCTTGTGAGAAGTTTTGGGAGAAACATACGTATTTTTAAACTGTTTGCAGTTTATAAGAGTAGTATTGAGATTGATACATTTAATAAGTACTTTAATGTCCCCATAAAAGTAGGAAGTATGTAGGAAAATGTTAATTATTATTTTTAATTAACAGGTGAATATTCAGCAAAGAATGCTTGTGGACTTGGTCTAATTGTAATTCCTACAGCAATATTAATATTACTACAGTACTGTGTGTTTATAATAGGTAAGTATTTGATGTTTCAGCATGATTTTGCCCACCTTTTTCATTTAAAAAGTGGCATTTTGGGTCAAAATATTCTTGTAATTTTTTTAAGAACTCGGGAGAAGTCAGTTTATTAAAAGACTTCGCAGGCTATTCTTAGTGACATTTCCCCCATATGGATTAATTTTAAGATTAGCTTAGGTTTTTTTCAAGGCACTCAGTCATCTTGAAAAAAAGGATTTTCATATGTCTTTGGTATCAGTGAATTTTTTAAACTATGCTATATAATCTCTTAATGATTATCTTCATGTTTTTGTTTTTGAAGCTATAAGTAGATATTAAGCATGCCCTTTCTCTTCGTTCGCTAGGCCTCTCTGTTTAAAAAACTACTTCTACAATATAGGGCTATAAATAACAAATAGCGGCTTAATTTATTACGTTTTTAGTAACTGGCATATCTTAACATTGTAGTTTTAAAAGATGACATAGATATCCAACCTATTATTGGAGTCATTTTCACTGCATTTGGGGAGTAAGTCACTAACATATTTTTTTTATTGTTGCAGAATGTGTTTTTTTCTATTTGCACATTTAACTCTTGGTCTGTCTTAGAGCCCATCTCTGGCTTGCTGTGCGTTGGAAGGGTGTTGATTTGTTATAAAAACACAGATCTAGACACACAGGAAACAGGCTAGGACGTTTACAGTGGCATTTTTGCGTAATGGTTCTCCCTACCTGAGCAATTTTGTGTGCGTGCTGTAAAGCTATACATAAAAGCCATTCACGTTGTGAAATGCACAAATTTGGTGAAAGCAGTATTGTTTTAAGATTTAGGGTGAAAACTGCCAGTCCAGTTTAGCTCACTGTGGAAATGAAAGATTGCTGAATGTGTGAATCTGGAGCTGACTACCTATGTGGAG